CATGGAGATGGGAACGGGGATGCGTTTTGGAAAAAACGAAGTTGAGCAACAGGGATCCCCCTGCAGAAGGCAGTCCCGGGCCAGCAGGCGAGTGCTTGGGGTCAATAAGCAGGACCAGCTCCCTGCAAATGCACGACAAGCCCCCCGTCCGTCAGACGCCCCCCTGGGGGTAGCCCGCCACTTTGTGGGGGCTGAGGGGCGTCTCCAGGCCCTCTGCGGGGCGGCTGGCACCGATCCAGAAGCCGCCTTCACCCAGGATGCTTTAAAGCCAGGCGTGAAAGGGCCCTACGTGGATCCTTCCGAACCCAGTGACCCACTGCAGAATCGGAGGGTCTATCTCACCACACGATGGTTCAAATCAGTGGTTCAAAGCAGCTGAAGGGTCTTCAGGCAGATTAACCTTGTTCTAAGCTTCTTCTGAATAGAAGAGCTAATGGTCAAGGGTGCAGACTCTTAAGCCAGGCTGCCTGGGGTCATACCTACCCCTGCCATTTACTAGCTGTGTGATCTTCAGTGAGTCACTTAACCTTTCTGTGCTCAGCTCATTAGGAAAATTAGGCGAAGAGTAGCTAGCTGGTAGGGTTGTCACAAGGAATCGAATTAGTTAATGTACATCAAGTGCTTATAGGCTTGGCATCTAGTTCATTATTTTACTTTTTGTTGTTTTTCAATGCCCCTTGGCTCCATGAGATTGAATTTTATTCATCTTTGTTCTTCCACAGCCGAAATACAAGGATAATAGTAAAAGCTAATATCTAATGAGCATTTACCATGTGCTGAGATCTATGCCAAGAGCCTAATCTGTGCCACCATCTTATTTACCTTCTCTTCTCTCAAGAGAAGGAAATCATCTGTATGTCACAGAAGAGGAAACACCGGCTCGGAGAGGTGACGTGGCTTATCCAGGACGCTGAAGCCACTAAGTGTAGGTCACAGACTAGAACCTGGGCCCTCTAACCTCAGGACCTTTGCTTGTCACCATCCAGGCAACGCTGCCCTATGGCCTGAGCAGTGAGAATTCTGACCATAAAAACAACAGCCACCATTCGGCAAGTGCTCCGAACACATTACGTGCACACTGACCATTGTATGCACTGGACACCCCTGTGGCAGGAGGCGTTAGTGCCTCATTTTACAGAGCGGGAAACAGAGGCCCAGGGTGGCTGGACGTCAGGATAATGCCAGGTGTTCTCTGCGGGGGAGTCCCCTCACTGCACGCTTCGTGGACTGTCTCCTGTGGGTGCTGGCTTTGACCAGACAGTACGTCTAAGATCCCAGGAAGCCGCTATGATTCTTCTCCTTATTAACACATGACTTTTCAAAGTTGGAACAGACCGAGTTCTCCTCCTGCCATGAGGTCAGTTGTGAGATTTCTTTTGAAACCAAGAGAAAGCAAGCTAAAGACCAAGTGCCATCTGTTCATCCGTTCAACAGACACTTAACTGGTGCACCTGAGCAGCAGCTCAGGTGCGTGGGCTCCCAGGACAAGGCACGCTGACTGCTCCCTAACCCCACAAGGGCCCAAGAAGAACCCAGCCTCCAAGCCACCTCCCCCACCCCACCCCCACCCCCCGCAGACCCGGGCAAGGATAACGAGACATCTGCAGATCACTAGCATTTTCCCCCTGCTTAGAGGGGGCTGGGAGGCCGCAGGCTTCTTGCACAAGCCAGCAAGAGGCCCACCTGACGGTCTGCTCACACGGAAGGTACGGAGCAGCTAATGTGAGCTTGGTCGTGTGCATCTCAGGCCACTCTGCTGCTGAAGAACTCTCCATGACTCCCTATCACCTCCCCCATATGCCACCCAAACCAAGGCCATGTCTCCGCCTGGCACCGGGAAGCCACTCTGTGCTGGCTCTGCCCGCCTGGTGAAACATTCCAGCCACACTGGTTTGCTCTCCGATTTACAAAAGCCTGGCAAGTTCCTGCAGGACAGAGTGTTACTCTGTTCCACCATCTGAAAAGTAAGCCTCCCCCAAGATGCTCAGAAACGTGCAAGCCTCCATGAATCCGCTACACCATATATAGCCCTTAACCCTGGGTAAGAACAGTAACAAATAGCGGCAGTTAATGTGTATTGAGTACTTACTCCATACCAAGCATTTTATAAGCACTTACCATGTAGAAATTCTTAATCGTTAAACCACCCTACGAAGTAGGAGTGTCATCACATCATACAGATGAGGAAAGTGTTACCCAGAGAAGACAAGTGACCTGCCCAAGGTCACACAGCTAGAAAATTGTGGAGCTGGGTTTGGGCTTAAGAGCATGAGCTCTGACCTAACGGGCGGAAAGAACACAGAGGATGCTCATGGCTGAGTTACTTACAATAGCACAGAGGTGGAAGCAGCCTAAGGCCCAATAAACGGGGACAGGTGAGTAACGTCCTGGACACACATCCCTAACCCCTCAGGCGCCACCGCCGCCCCTCAAACCCACAGTGACCGATCATGTGCCCTTTAAACCACTTCCAAACCACCCAGCCCTCTCCGGCCCCCACTGCCACAGACTTACTTATGTCGTGCCCGGTCACAGAGCCAGCCCACCCCACGGGGGCTTTGTGTGAACTGGGAAGAAACACCCCTCCCCCAAGACTCCCACTTCCTCCTACCAGCAGTGGTCTTAGTAATTAATACACAGACGATGCACCCCATTTGAACAGCAGCCTCCAGAGGAGGTGCCCTTGTGCAGTGCTCCGTCCTCACAACTGGACAACCCTACCTACGATGGTCTCTGTATCATCCTAAGGGCCGTAAACAAATACCAGTACCCCCCTTTTTACTGAAATCATGTCCATTAGAAAAAAAAACTGGCCTAGCACCCACAACCATCAAATAATTGTATGTGTGCTGCCGCAGTGAGCACTCAAATAACTGCATATGTGCTGCCAAAGCGAGCACTCAAATAATTGTGCGACTTGGGATTTATCCTTCTTTAGATCATTCTGTTTTCACCATGTCCTCATTGGCAAATGATGTTAACAGATGATATATGGAAAAAAGAATACACGTGACCAATAACAAAAACATTAAACCTCTCATAGCAAAGGAATGTGAAGTAAAGAGAAGTACCAATTCAACAAATATTTTTTAACTAAAAAAAAAATAAATAAATGGCGGGGCGCCTCGGTGGCTCAGTCGGTTAAGTGTCCGAGTCTTGGTTCTGGCTCAAGTCATGATCTCATGGTTCATGAATTCAAGCCCCACACTGGGCTCTGCCCTGACAGTGTGGGGCCTGCTTCCGATTCTCTCTCTTCCTCTTTCTCTCTGCCCCTCCCCCACTCATGCTCTCTCTCCAACATTTTTTTTTTTTAAATGGCACTTCTGGGATAGGGTGAAACCATTACTAACATCGCACTGATGAAGTTACAATTTGTACATTTCTGGAGGCTAATTTAGCAATATATATTTAAAGCTCTCAAGCCCCTCTGGAAAACGGTGTGGAGGTTCCTCAAAAAATTAACAATAGAACTCCCCTAGGACCCAGCAATAGCACTGCTAGGAATTTACCCGAGGGATACAGGAGTGCTGATGCATAGGGGCACATGGACCCCAATGTTCATAGCAGCACTCTCAACAACAGCCCAAACATGGAAAGAGCCTAAGTGTCCATCAACAGATGAATGGATCAAGAAGATGTGGTTTATCTATACGATGGAACACTACATGGCAATGAGAAAGAATGAAATCTGGCCATGTGTAGCAACATGGATGGACCTTGAGGGTGTTATGCTGAGCGAAATAAGTCAGGCAGAGAAGGACAGATACTGTATGTTTTCACTTAATAAGTGGAACAGGAGAAACTTAACAGAGGACCATGGGGGGAGAAGAAGGGGAAAAGATAGTGGGGGAGAGGGAGGGAGGCAAACCATGAGAGACTCTTGAATGCTGAGAACAAACTGAGGGCTGATGGGGGCGGGGGGGAGGGGAAGGGGGTGATGGGCATGGAGGAGGGCACTTGTGGGGATGAGCACTGGCTGTTATACGGAAACCAACGTGACAATGAACTACTAAAAAAAATAATAATAAAGCTCTCAGAGCAACTATCTAAAACTCCACTCTAGGAATAAACCCTACAGACACAAAGACAGACAAACACTCATGTGTCAAAGACCAATTAACCATCCTACAAGTGTTAAAAGATTCATTGAAGCACTATTTGTAATTTAAAAAAATGTAAGTAGCTTATGTTTGTTGCCTTACAATAAAGCTGCCTCAGTTATAACTACTCGACACATATTAACCTCTTTAGCCTTCATGACAACCTGTGGCCTAAGAACCCTTGTTACCACCATTCTGCGTGAAGGAGAATGAAGGCACTGAGAGGGGAGAGAACCTGCCTGAGCTCACAGAACGGGCAGCAGAGCCAGCAGCTGAACCCAGCGTAACCAGGAACAGAGCGCCCAAACTTACCTGCCCTGGGCGACGGCCCCCTTTTCTGATAATAGCCTAAGGCTGAAAAGGTTTGCCTCTCTATGTGAAAAAATAGTTAAAAAAAAAAGAAAAAAGAGGGAGCACCTGGGTGGCTCAGTCAGTTAAGCAGCCGACTTCAGCTCAGGTCATGATCTCACAGTTCGTGAGTTTGAGCCCCACGTCGGGCTCTGTGCTGACAGCCTGGAGGCTGGAGCTGCTTCCGATTCTGTGTCTCCCTCTCTCTGCCTCTGCCCCTCCCCTGCTCATGCTCTATCTCTCTGTCTCTAAACAAACAAACATTTTTTAAAAAATAAAAAAAAACAAGATGAGTTGGGGCCGGGGGGTCCACCTTGTCATCCGAAGAACGAACCCAGGAGCAGCTAAAACACTTGTGGCAGAGCCACTCAGCAGTGGGCCGTGCAGACCCCCACCGCTGGAGGCCCGGGAAGCTTCTCGCGGGGAGTAGAATGAGCATGACATAAACCCCGGCCAGCGGGGTCCCTCCCCCGAATCAGCGCTGTCTGGAAGAAAGGGATGGTGGTTTGCGTGGTGCCAGTGACAACGAAAGAGCCCGGAAAGCCCCCTGACCTGTGGTCTTCTCGGTAAACACGACTTTGGACTCGGCCGTGAAGTTCTGTCCGGTGAGGATCATCTGCTGGCCCCCGTAGACCAGGCAGCTGTCGACGTCCTGGGTCTCCACCATGGGCAGCTCGTGGGCAGACCGCTGGGCTGAGGGCGGGAGGAAAGGAGGTCAGCGCAACGGCAGGAGACATGTGCGCAGCAGGGGCCGACTTCACAGCGACCGGACACGCCCTGCCCGCCTTTGTCACCTGCTGTCATCACAGGCGTGGAGCCATCGGCCCCCACAACTGCTAAGCCCGGAAACGCCACGCCCCTGTCCAAGTGCCCTACGTTACCCGCGACAATCTTCTAACAGCACATCTTGTTTCCACAAGTCAAGGGACAGGTGTCTGTCCTTACAGGGAGGAGATGAATGGGATTTGATCTTTATCACATATAAAAGGGCAAATCAACTCTTTCCTAAGGGCGTCCCTCTTCCAGAGTGGACTCTCTCCTGTGCCCCTGATGTCAGCAGACGCTCGCCTGAAGGGACCCGGGTCCGGCAGGGTTTAGACGTAGTCTCTGGGCAATTCACTGGCAGCCCTGAACTCAGTCCTCAAGACATCGTAATCTCCCCCCCCCACCTCTCTGACCTCGGTTTCTAGGATCCCCCCACCCTGCTGTGTTCTAGCCATACTTCTAGAAAGTTCTCAGTGTCTCTCAAACACACTCCACACACCTATCTTTGAACACTTGGACTTTCTGGTCCCTCTCTCTTGGAAAGTTCCTCTTGATTATCTACGTGGCTTCTTTCCTAACTCCTCGCAGGTGTCTCCTCAGATATTCCTTCCTCAGAGAGGCTTCCTTACCCCCACCCTCCCACCCTGAAGGTAAAACAGCAGCACCCACCCCGTCTGTCTGTGTCTCTCCCCTCCCCCTTCCTCTTTATATTGCATTACCTTGTTTTATTGGGTCGCCTGTCTTTCAAATCTCCCTACACTAGAATGTAAGCCCCCAGAGGGAGCTCGGTGCTGCTGTAAGCCCCAGGCCAGGAACAGTGTCTTGGACTTCATAGGAGGTGCTAGGGACGAATGGACGGAAGGATGGATGGATGGATGGATGGATAGACAGATGGATGGGTGTATGAATAGATGGACACATGGATGGATGGGTATATGAATGGACGAATGGACAGATGGATGGACGGATGGATGGGTGTATGAAGGGACAGATGGATGGATGGATGGATGGACGGATGGGTGGGTGTATGAAGGGACAGATGGATGGATGGATGGATGGATGGACAGATGGATGGATGGGTGTATGAAGGGACGGATGGATGGACAGATGGTCAGATCGATGGATGGACAGATGGATGGATGGGTGTATGAAGGGACGGATGGATGGACAGATGGTCAGATCGATGGATGGACGGATGGATGGATGGGTGTATGAAGGGACAGATGGATGGATGGACAGATGGATGGATAGGTGTATGAAGGGACAGATGGATGGATGGGTAGAGGGACAAATGTAAGGACGGCCGGATAGATGGACGCACTTATATATGGATATATCTCAATATACCTTAATATGCACATAGACACACGTCAGTCTCTCTATACCCAGACCCTCATCTGTGACTACAGTGAATGAGAGATGGAGAAACAGGACAGGCCTGTGCTGAGTGCTGCATCACAACAACACACCTGAATGCTGGCAGCTACTTTCTGAGGGAGGAAGTATTAACCGGATTCACGTTTGCCTGGGGAGAAAACTAAAGCTAAGTAAGAGAAGTCAGATCAGCCCTTGGCCAATGGCGTGTGGTTAAGGCTCTTAGATCTGAATCCTCAGAAGATGGTCTGGTCCTCAGTCACTCTAGCCGGTCACTGATTCTTCTGGAATGAAGGCTGCAGGAAAGAATGAAGACGAGCTCCAGACCCCTTCCCCACACAGAATGAGAAACAAGTCCTAGTCAGCAAGACGGACCCATCTGTTCAGGCCTCGCCTTAGCAGCGTGGGCTGAGGAGGCCGGCCCTCCCCTGGTGAGTCAGCCCAGGCTCCCGGCCTTCCTGCCAAGCCCGAGAACTGGGCGGAGGGCCAGCCCTCTCCGTGCCAGGGGCCCGAGGACCTCCCCATCCGGGAGCCGCAGCAGGCAGCAGCACATGAGGCCTGGAGGCCCAAACCTAACCCTTCCCTCCTGGCCGGCCTGGCCCTCCAGGTGGCCGAGGACACCCCCAACCCCCCACCACCATCCCGCAACGTGCTCCTTCATGAGCTGCCATGCACTTGGCAGCGTTTCAGGAGTCTACTGTGGACCCGCCGGAGGCTCCCAGACACTTCACCTTGAATGTGCAACCCAGTGACTCACTATGATCCTGTCGGCTTTAGCCGGTCCCCGGCTCAGCCCAGGGACCCGCCAGCCAGTGCCGAGCCCGGGGGCTGCCAGTTCCGAGCAAACGGTAAAGAGGCCTCTCTGCAAAAACTGCTAATTTCTCCCACATGGGCCGGGTCATTAATCCCTTCTTTCAGTCTAGGAGTTTCATAGGACTTCCTAATTGAGCTGCCACAAATGGAGATTTACGAGCAGTGAAAACACCAGTTGCATCGCCTGGAAAAACAGGTCCCGACTTTTAAGATCTGCCTTTGATGAGTTTGGGGGGCAGCTGGAGGCTCCAGGCCCCAGAAATGGGTGAGGGGGTGGAGGGTGGCAAGAGCCATCCCTCCCATTCTGCAGGTGGAAAGCCTGAGTCATCACTCCTGGGCAGGCTGGCCCAGGGGCCGGCCGTGGCTGGGACTCTGGGCGGGAGGCTGGCCCGGATGGCCGCTCCGTGAATCACTGAGCATTGCTGTGGACACAACAGGCTGCTTCTCCCTGCAGAGCCTTGCGGTTTCCATCAGCCAACTTTTTCTCCCTCTGCCACATCTGTGTTTCCCACCCTTCTCCTTATATGAAGGAAAACACTCTTTGTAAGCACAAGCTTAAAGAGAGGAGACCACGAGACCCAGCCCAGCTCGGGAACTTTCTCTTGCCTCCTCTGTGGTCCTGAACCCCGAGCGGGAAGGTCAGCATCACAGCGAGCTTGTTAGGAACGCAGAACTGCGGGCCCCACCCCACACCTCCTAAACCCAGCTCTGCAGTGTGACAAGGAACCCACATGATCGTCATGCACTAACCAAGCGTGAGAGGCACTCTTAGCTCTAGGGGTGCATTAGAACGAGCCAGGAAGTTTAGAAAATCCAGACACCCGGGCCCTAACTGGGCACTACTGACATGGGGGCTGGACCCGTGTCTGCTGCGGGGCTGTGTGCCCTGCGGGAGTGGCTTAGTGGCATCCCAGGGCCCCCGCTGGGGGCCAGCTTCACCCTCCCCTGCGACAACAGCATCCACCTCGAGAGAGCGAGCTGGATGGCCACTGGGAAGTAGGGGCCCCAAATTGCCCCTGGATAAGAACCACTGACTTCAATGGTCTGAGAGGAGGACCCCAGCATAGATTCCTTTAAAAAAAAAAAAAAAAAGAATCCTTAATGATTGCAACAGGCCCCCAGGTTTGCTCTGCAGAACCATCGTGACTGGGCAATGCAGGACCCTAGGAACCAAAGGAGATTTCTGGCTTCCTGCTGCTTGGGCTCTGGGGTCAGAAAGCCATGGCTTCAAGTGTTTGCCTCCTGCCATCTCCCTGCTGGGTGACCCTGGGCAAGTCACTTCACCTCTCTGGGTCACAGATGCCTCCGAGCAGCACCTGCCCATGTGGGTCTGCTACAGAGTACCAGATAACATACTGCACATAAACAAGGATGCAGTCAGTACAGACCTGGGAAAATACCAAACATCAGTAACCCGGATATCCATCAGTGGGTGAATGGATGGCTGAAATGTGGTATGCCCATTCAGAAGGGCGATTCAGCCTTAAGCAGGGACACAGGCTTACACCGTGGAGGAACCTTCAAAACGTTACGCTAAATCAAAGGAGCCAGACACAAAACGACAACTGCTCTACAATCCCACGTATACAAAATGCTCAGAATAAGGGAATTCATGGAGATGGAACATAGAGGGGGTGGCCAGATCTGGGGAGTAACTGCCCATGAGAATGGGCTTTCTTTGTGGGGTGATGCATGAGCTCTCTAAGTAGACAGTGGCGATGGTGGGAATGCCACATCGTGAATGTTCTCCGTGCCCCAGAACTGTCCACCTTACCGTGGGTCAAACGGTATACTGTGTTATGTGTGCTTTACCACAATAAAAAAAAAAAAATCTACTATAAAACAAAAGCACTCAGCCACTGCCCAGCACACACTAACCATGCAAGAAAATTTTCTTTAGCACCATTAACTTTCAACATGCCTGTTCTTTCGTGCTTATCTGCTTTCAAAATATTTTGTCACCTGTTATCTTTACAGACCCTTAAGTGACGGCCCTATCAGGCACTGAGGAAGACACGGTTCACAACACTTTCGAGACTGAGAAACAGATGCTAGGTGCTCCACTCCATCCAGGGGCAGCCCCGACTTGGGTGCGAGCCTGGGCACTGGGCAGCCCTGGGTCGTGGCTCAAGTGATCCTTGCGTGGGCTTCTCTAAACCTGGTTCCCCATCTGTAAAATGCAACTGTTCACGGACCCATCTCCCAGGCCGTCTCGAGGCTCCCACGGGAGAATGCACACGAAGCGTATTTGCCTCGGTAACTTTCAGCCAGCAAGATCATGGACACGAAACCCCATAGTTTCTTGAGGACTTCCCACGCGCCAGGCACTGGCTCAGGGTTGCTGCCCTAGAGGCAGGATTTCACCGAATGTGTGCTGACCACGTCCCCGCGTGTTCCCACGGCTCGTGCTCTGGGCGCTGTTGGTCTGGGTGGATCCAGACCGTTAGCTGGACTTCCCAACCTTGACTGCCAGGCTTTCTCAAAGTGAGGCTCCCAGGCCACCTGCTTGGAGGAGGCACTCAGTCCACATGCAGATGCTCAGGCCAGCCCCTCACTCCACTGCACCCAAATCTCCTAGAATTTGCATGTGAACAATCTTTCCAGGTGACTTGGTACCCACATTTGTTTGAGAGCCAACTCCGACACTTACGAGGCCACATCCGGGCAGGGGACCTCCTCCAGGGAAGGCCCCTGCATCCTCAGAGAGCCCAGAAGCAAAGCAAACCAGTCCAATTAGCCTC